AGTATCCTTTATTCTGAGAAGGGGTCATCGTCCAGGCCGAGGGTCCTGACCAAGGCGTTGACTTCCTGAAACTATTTGTGCCAAAGTAGGGAGCACACGAGCCGAGGGTCTCATTGCCGAGAAATTACTTAGCCATGCTAAGGTATGATACATGAGCGCTGAGAACCATGAAGCGAGTGGCACCTCGTGGATTGGCCCTATTCGATCAGGTTGGGATGAACCCGTGCCGATCACACGGTGACTGAGACAGAATTAAGTCAGGATAGTTGGAACTCCTAAAGTATAAAGTGAAGTATTTTTTTTATAAGAAAGAAAAAGAAAAAAATTATTTTAGAATATTCATAAACTACTATTATGCAATTATTTTAGAATTATTCGTATAAGCTTTATGTTTTACATGCATTTAGAACCTTTGCTCGTAATGTATATGTTATTAAAGTTTTGCCCCCTATTGTTGAGACTCACTGAGTACAATGGATGGTACCGACGTTCTCTTTTGGGAACCTACGTTGGTTTGCGGTACAACATAGGAACTGGTTTTGCAGTCGAGCAGGCTACTGGTTAGGACTTCCTTCTCTTCCAGTGCTATTGGTGAGCTCCGCTTTTGTTCGTGGAGTATTCCTTAAAGTTATCTTTATTTAGTTATTTCTTTGTTTACTTAGAGAACTGGCCAGGAAATCTCATGTCCTGAGCAGTGCATCAGTTTATCAGTAGAGGCTTCATAGACATAGTCGTTGGGTTAAGATTAAAATATTTTTGATAATAACTTAGTAGTAATTCAATAGTTACTATGAATAAAATTTTGGAAGTGATTTATTTAAATATTTAAATTAATCAAAAGTATTTGGTTAGAGTATTGCCTTATTGCATATAAAGTTTGGAGTTATAATAGCTTTGATAAGCAGAGATGGTTCGCTCGGTCATGTTTAGTGATCGAGTGTCGGTCCCGGCTTGTTCAGAAAATGGGTCGTGACAAGGTATCTTCAACATATCGACCCTTGCAGTGTACAACTTTGCATACGTAAGGGAGGATTTGGCAGCAACCTCATATTTGTTCTTAATGGTTCCTTCAATGAACTCTTTCAGTTGATCGATTGGAATCATCCCTTCAAATGGGACAGGGATAGCCTTAGTGGATGGTACTTGTCTTGGGGGAGAGTCACTTTCTAGAACTTCTGAGAGCTTGTTGGGTGCATGGGTGGATTCTTCTTCCATCAAGATTCCCACCCTGTCTGTTAGCTTATCGATTCTAGCCTCTTGATTTTGCATGTATTTGGTCAAGCCAGCGATTGCTTCCATCAAGTTTGCCAACTGCTCCTCCATGGATGAAGTATTTGTCACCATGGCTTGTATGATTGTCGTGGACGACAGAGAGTAGCATGGATTTTCACACAAATTGATCCTTGATCGGTTGACGCTATGTGGTGTAAGTGGGGAGGATCCATCACTTGAAGCATTATCATCTTCCTTCACAGCAGAGTGCTTGGATCCGGAGAGGTCAAACAGAGTAAGAGTTTTCTTGATCTTTTCAGCAACATCGCTTCCTCCTTCAGATGAGTTTGTGGAAGATCTTGCTCCTTTTGAGGATGAAGATCCGAAAACAGGGGTTGACGCGGACAACACTTGAGGTGCTTGTTGTCCTAAAGAGCTTTCTTTGCTCCTCGTAACTTGTCCAAAGCTTCCAAAGGTAACATCGATGATGCTTTCCACATCAGCATAGAACCTGGAGTTAGCAGCCTTGGTGGAAGTTGAACCGGAGTTGATTTTCTTTGAAGCCATTTCAATGTTCTTGGACTTTAGTGATTGAAAAGTTGAGATGAGAGGTAGGGATTGTCCCACTGGGTGTGCCAGAATTTGTAGACAATAAATTGCGTCAAGAAAATAAAATCAAGACCGAAAAATATTGCAACAATCGTAGTGTTTTATTTTGAATATTTGAGTGTTACAATCTCTATGATTCTTGTGATTCTACTTTTCTAGTATAAATTCAAGGGTCTCTGAGCTTGATCTTAAATTTAAATTTGATTTATCCGTTGCGAACACTTTGATTGTTGCCACGAATTGTATCACGAACAAGTAGCCTTGATCTTTAATGCCTTGTATTTGGTTTGACTTCATTCTTGATCTTGAACACTTGAATTGTTCTTCGTTATTGAGCTTGAACTTGATTTCTTGAACTTGAACTTGATTGCTTGAAGCTTGAAACTTGTAGAGAAATTTGCGGCGTTTGATCCACGAGCTCTCTCTTGCGTCTTGTTATAACTTCTGGTGTCTTTTCTGAGTTATGAAGACCCCTATTTATAGTTGTGGGAGGGAAGAATTGTGATAAGAAAAAACTCTTTCCGACCAATCAAATTGAAGTGTGACAAGACCACATTTGATTAGCCGAAACATGTCACTTGCACACGTGGCGCGATTTTATTGGCCTTTTAATTTGACTTGACATGCCTTGTCATTTTGACACGTGGCACAATCCTATTGACTCTTCCGTTTGACTTGGCACGCCATGTCATTTGACACGTGACACCAAATTGGGCCTCTAGGAAGATGACATCTTGGGCTTAATGAAGTGGTCTCATCACTTTAGCGCAATTAAATGGGCTAGCTCAATGGATTAAGACTTATTTATTTAATCCATATATATTGGAGTTATATAATTAATCCAATTATATTAGCCCATAATATATATATTTGGACCAATATATCTTGAATTTAAAATATAGTCCAAATTAATTTTATGGATTTAAATCCAATAAATTTTGTATGCCTACAGTACCGAATAAATTTATATATGAAAAATATATTTTATATACTAAGTTTAAAATTAACAAAGCACTAAAAAAATTTTCTTGGGACTTGGGATTATGAAAATGACTACAAGTGACCAAATAATTAATATCCAAAGTCTTACTTCCAAACCTATTCGACTATTAGATTTCTCTGGTTGGTTATTAATCTTGTAATAAGCTATATTCTTTGAGTCCCAACTTGATTAGTATTTTTCCACTCGTATGATTTATATTTCTGTCTTTGCTTAATTTGTATTACACGACCATAAAATTATGGGATGAATCTCTATACATGACATCTTTCATGTTCCTTTGATTATCACTTTTAAAATAGTAAAAATATCCAGAGAGTTCTGCCAAAGTCCTATGCAAGTAAACATTATCGCATTATAACTTAGACTAGCGACTCTTGCATGATATTTTTTTAAAAATATCGAAAAATTAATCGAATCGTACCGATATCGAAGAAAAACTGAGATGATTGGGATGATTTTGAAATGTCTAACTTTGGTTATACAAAATGGAATAACCGAACATTTGGTATGACATAATTTTTATAAAATAACCGGCCGAACCAAACCATTGACACTCATATTACCCCGTTAATTCATGTTTTGAGAATGATACATCGTGTAATTTACTTTAGAGAAAAAGAAATAGAGTAATTTTCATAAACCACTATAGTTTAGAGCCTAATAACTACAATTTGCCTAATTACCATTGGTAGCTACTGTTCAATTATTACTGATTTATGTCATTTGTATTCAAATGCGCAACGAACACAGCTTGTGTCAACTGTATTCGTTCGCGCAACGAATACAACATGTAGCAATTGTATAGTGCAACGAATACAATATGTATCAACTTTAACCAAAGCAAAATACAAGGTTGTATACAAAGAATACAACTTGTATCAACTGTATACATGGGTATATACAAAGGATACAACTTGTATCGACTGCATTTGTTTGCGCAAAGAATACAATTATGGCAAAATACAGAAATATAGAAAAATAAAATTTTCTTGTTGAGATTCAAACTCAAAACCCTTGCTAGCTAAGCAAACGCTCTAACCAACCGAGCTATGAGAGCTTGTTGCTCTCTTGTTTCAATTCAAAATAATTGATATCTTATTTCATGGATTTGCTATAAAATTCAAATGTAGCCACGAATGGTAATTTTGCTGAAAGTATAGCTACGAATGGTAAATACAATATAGTATAAATAGTTTTTACCATTTGTAGCGACTGTTCAATTGTTATTAATTTGTATCAACTGTATTCGTTCGCACAATGAATATAACCTGTATTCGTTCACCAACATCAAACTGAAATGAAGCGCCAAAAGAAAGAAGATCATATAAAATCTAAAACAAGCATAAAGTCATTTGCAAAAAAGAGAATTAGGTCAATGGGTTTGGTAGAATGCAGCTCACTTGAGTCAAGATTGGAGTAAATTCAAAATTCTTGTACTCTAATTCTTAAAAATAAAATGGATTTAATTAGTAAATTCGTCCAAAAAAGGACTTGTTCTATGATCATATATCAAACAAATTTTAAATATAATCATTTTAAAGATTTTCTGTTGTAGAATTGTGATTCCTAACATTTTTTATGTAGCTTCTAAAATTGTAAAAAATATCTCAATCCTTAGATATATCGATCCTTGTACTTTGATTTCAAGATTTAATAGGGAACCATCAAAAGATAGTGATGCAGTGGATGAGACAGCTCCTCCCTTAATCAGAGGTTTCGGGTTCGAAACCTGGGTATGAAAAAAATTTAGATAGGGAGCGCTTCCCCCGAATGGGGCCCTACGCGGCACAAATTCGGATATAGTCGGGCTCCAATGCAAGTACCGGAAATCGGGTGGAAAACCAAAAAAAAAGATTTAATAGGAAGGTTTTAGAGAGGAGATAAGATGAAAATCTTCCTTAACCTAATCTAGAAAAGCAACTAAATTCCACTTCCCTCCTAATTAATACTACTACTATTCTGGCCCTTTTCACTTCTATAATTTCTACAGTAAAAATGTCAACAAAAAAAAAAGGAATAACAAAAACACATTCACATTATGTGTATCTGATTTCCACGACTACATCATCTAACGACTCAAATTATTCCACGTCAGCATCGTCTTCCTCCTTCTTTCCTTGCCTTTTTAACAAGCGAAAACGCTTCGTTTTCTTCCTTTCTTGTTCACTTTGCTCTCTCTACTCTCTTTCTCGCCATAGCTTCTTGTAGTTTCTCTTTATTCTTCTTTCTCTCTGTTTTTTCTTTTTTATACGTATTTGATTTTCAGATATTCTAACAGTCAAAAATCAAAAAGGAAAATTAATACGATTTTCCCGATCAAAACAAGGCAGAGAACACGACTAATTTTTGTTCACAAATTTCTGCAGCAAAATGTGGAATCTTTGAATGTTACTGAAGGTGAGATTAACATTAGTTTGTATATTGGTTTTATTTTCTTTACACATGACCAGTCTAAAGTTTAATGTGGTAATGATGATTATTCATATAATCATGTTTTATGTGTGTGTACACTGACACACCTTTATAGCATGTTTATGTCTGCATGTAAGGGTTCTTTATAGGGATGTTGGGTAGAATAATGACACAAAAACATATTATTTACTCCCAATTTTGATATGCTAACTTTGACTGACAGAGATTAAGAATAGGTTTGGAACAGTTTTTTTTTTTTTTTTTTTTTGGTTTAAGAGGAGCCTAAAGTTAGATATTAATGTACTTCTCTATTTGGGTGAATGTTGAGACTATGATAATTTGTTTTTAAAAAAACGGAAAAGACCTAAAAATGTCACTCAACTTTCAGAAATGGTCTATCCATGCCTAAAAAATGCTCATTTCATGCCATTGCCGTTACACATTTGGCCCATCCATGCCATTATTGACTAACGGCAGTGGCATGGATGGGCCAAATAAAAATTGAGCCGTTAGTCAATAATGGCATGGATGGGCCAAATGTGTAACGGCATTGGCATGAAATGAGCATTTTTTAACGGATGACATGGATAGACCATTTCTGAAAGTTGAGTGGCATTTTTAGGCCTTTTCCCTTAAAAGAATAAAAGATTTGGACTTTATAAATAGTCATTGTTGTTAAAAGCCATTGCTTTGTCGCTTAAAGTGATGAAGGGGTTCTCGCTTCATAGGGAAAGCAATGTGCTTCAGAGAATTTTGCATTTTAAACAATGACACGAAAAATGATCCTAAACAGAAGCGGATTACTTTAATGGATTAATATCACCATATAGTAAATTGGATGCTAAAATTAGTTATTTCAATTACAATTTGATTGTTGTAGTACCAAATTCATATATGTTAAGTATTTTTTATTTTCCGTAATTTATGCGCTTCACTTCAAATTAGAAGCGTGCATTTCATTTGTTGCTTTTCATTTTAAGCTCCATGAATTGTTGTTTCTCACTTTTAAAAACACTGAATAGTACTAAGTGTGTTTGCCGTTTGGTATGACGAAAGTCATTTTCGAGGAAAGTATTTCCATGGATACAGTATCACATTGAAAGCTATGCAATTATGGATATCATCGAAAGTGCAAAAATTATAACATGTTATTGCTGGTGAAAATATAAAGCACAAGTTTTACCTGCAAGTAGTGGCGTCAGAATTTTCATCAAGGGGTCCATATATAAAAATTAGATACATCGAAAAGTCAAGGGCTGTCAACGTATAGTAAATATACACAAAATTAAAAAAGTTATCTAGCAATATTGTGTTATTTTCCTGCGAAGGGATGTCGATTGACACCCACCCCTTGGTTGAACGTGGCTCCGCCACTGCCTGCAAGGAGAGAAAGCAAACAAACACAGGTTAGAGTTACCAGATTCATGTTCACAACTCAAGTACATTAGCATATGTTTTATGCTTCTGATAAGAAATCTTCTTACACCTCCACATTGTGTAGTTGGACACTGATAGATATTACAAGTATCGGGTGTTTAAGCTGATTTTGGAGTTTTTTTTTTTTTTTTTTTTTTTTTTTTTTTTTTTTTTGTCAGGATATTTAGAAAATGAAGTTCATGAGATGCAAAAACTTAGACCAAAATGACATCTGATGACATGCCTGACAAGAAAGATATTCGCGCAGCAAATATTCTGTTACAGATGGCGAAAGTGAAAGGCTGTTTTGCAAAGGAGTTCCCATCTCGTCATGTTAAACATGGAGTGGTTAAATTATCAACTAACAGATTAACTAAAAACACCCAGAAAGGTGGCTGCCGATTCGGAACAGACAAGCTGATGAAGATAGAAAATGCGAAAACATTAGACTTGCAATCTGCAAGAGCTACTATTGTAGAGAGAAAAAGTAGAAAGAGGACATTCCATTCACGTGAAACGTCAGAACATCTTAATTTAACAAGTAGATCATGCACAAGAAATCTGCAGAAAGCTAAGGTTTGTTCTATTATTGATCATAATGCTTTACTTCAATATTTGATGACAATTATAGTTGCAATGGATTGAAAGGAAGCTTCAGAAGCCTTTTAAATCAGATGATCATAATCTTTTAAACTGAACATATTCTAAGTTTATAATCGGTGAATAAAGTTGATAATGGAGGGAACAAAAATTGCAGGAAATGAAGGATGAGACAGGTGCTTTCAGGGACCGGATAAATCCTAGTATTAAACCACCAAAGAAGCTGCAGTCAACTTGTATTGTCCCCACTATCCCTGATACATCCTCATTTTCCATTATACATCTTCTCTATGCTGTCCGAATTGCTTTAATTACACCACTTGGAAAAAACAATAGCCTCATTTTTGGCAAGTATGTTGAAACCAACAAGAAGAAACAAAGAAAGCATTCTGAAGGTGTCAGTTGGATTGAGAAGCGTGGTGGATGTTTCTCTGGATTGAAAGGATTTGTCCGGAAGAACTTACCTTCTCTTGCTACACCTGAAATTGTGGAGCGTGTGAGATTGAATACTCGTGACTTTCGTATTCTTGAAGCCAAGGAGCCACTTCAGGATTTAGTCAATGGAGTTCTCAAAGTGTTCTCATCAAGAACAGTATCAATCGGAGCAAAATCACAAAAGGCACTTGTAGTTTATGAAAGGCATAGCAAAAGTTGGTCATGGATTGGTCCACTCCCTTCCTCTGTACTGCATATTGACCATATTGAGGAAGAAACATCTCCTCAGGCTTGGGGTCTTCCACGCAAAACTCTCGTGAAACTGGTTGATTCGTTTGCTTACTGGTTGAAAGAAGGGCAAGAGATGCAACTAAGAATTGGTAGTCTTCCGAAACCACCACAGGAATTGATGCAACATATCAACTTTAGTGAAAGGTTACGGGAATCGAGAGCTGTGAAAAGTCTTAGGACCATAAGTCCCAGCTGTGAGGAAGTAAGAGCTTATTTCCGTCGAGAAGAAACTCTAAGGTACACAGTACCTGACAGGGCTTTCTCATATACAGCCCTTGATGGTCAGAGGTCTGTCGTTGCACCTCTGAAAAGTTGTAGCGGAAAACCACCAACAAAGGTTCGTGATCACCATATTCTTAAGCACAATCGACCACCTCATTTTACTGTCCTTTGTTTGGTAAGAGATGCAGCTGCTAGATTGCCTGGAGGCGTTGGAACCAGAGCTGATATATGTGTTTTGGTAAGGGACTCTCAGTTCATTGTTGAGGACATCTCAGATTTGCAAGTTAACCAAGTTGTTAGTGGAGCTTTGGACCGTTTGCACTATGAAAATGATCCGTGTGTAAACTTTGAGAAGAAATGGCGTCTATGGGCCTATTTACATCGTGATCGACAAGAAGAAGATTTTGAATATGATTCTACATGTCCTATGAAGAGAAGGAAGAGGGCTAAGAAAATGGACTCTGAAGTTTAATTGAAGTGCCGAAAGTGTTTCAGAAAGTGCCAAGTTCAACCAATATATTCTTGTCTTTGTTGGAAGTGGTTCATCGGCCTTTTTCAGGAAGATAGTTAATGTAGGGTAACATATTTCAAGATTTCTGAGATCCTGTAAATTAAAGATCAAAGTTTTTCAGCTGTAATGGATTGAATGCTCACATCTCCTATTTATATGCTTGAGCCAAATAATGTTTTTGTATTGCTGCATCTTCTGGATGCTTTTTGTTTACTTCATTTAAAAACGTGCTAATTGGTTTACTAATAATTGCATAAATGATATGATACTACCTGCATAAGGTAAAGGTAAAGTCTGCTTACATACTATCCTGCTCAAACCCCACTTGTGGGATTACACTGGGGATGTTGTTGTTTGTGGTGAGCGTGGGTGGCAAGGTGAGAGGGGTTCTAGAGTACTCGTCATCAATCAAACAATAACAAGAATATGCTTAGAGAGCAAAGCTGCAAAGCCTAGTGAGAGCCTACAACTCTGGAAATATAAGAAGTCACATATATCATGAAATATCAAATGGTTGATCTTTTGCTTTTCACTGAAAAGCCTAAGCAATAACCTCTTCTGACTACTAAAAATGCATGTAAGTTTTAATATCACTTGAAATATGCATTCTGTATGTAGTCAGAAACATTAGACTTGATACAATCCAAGGAAAGATAAAGCAGGAAAGTAAAGAAAATCAGAAGACAGATATCAAAGATTTTGTCATGATAATCACCATTGCTTTGGGAATTTTCTACAGGATTCTCTTCTATTTTGCTTTGTTGATTGGAAGCAAAAATAAGAGACGCTGAGTATTCTTCCTAAAAAAATACTCAGCGTCTCTTATTTTTGCTTCCAATCAACAAAGCAAAATAGAAGAGAATCCTGTAGAAAATTCCCAAAGCAATGGTGATCCACAAACTAGTCCATTTGTCTAAATCATTCACCCCAGTTTGCTTCAATATATCTGTTCCTGTTGTCAAACAAGTCGAGTTTGTTATGTTCATATCCAATATCTTGCTCATGTCTTGCAACAACTCGATCTTCAATGACTCAGTAACATCCTTCAACGGCGAGGCATCAAAAATCTGGATACCCTTTACGAAACACTTGTGTGGATCATCAAATTCATTCTGTAAAACCCCTTGATAAGGGTATTTCACTAGAGACATATAGTGAAACCAAATCCAATAAGGGGCGATCTCATCTCGTCTGATGAAGAAGCCACTTAACAACAAAAAACAGCCAAAAATCCTGGTAACTAGTGTATAACCCACTATTCCATTGTAAATGAATCCGGAGAGGAATGTGATGAAGGAATTTGCAGTCCAAAATGAGACAAATATGAAGAGCAAGAAGAAAAGAAAACCCGAAAAGCCATGAGCAAGTCCCACAGACCAATAAGTTGTGACAGCAAATGCAAGGGAAAGGACTAATAGGGAAGGAATTGAGGTAATGGCATGGGAGAGAACATAGGAGGAACAGCGATAAGCATTGTGCGCTGTCTCTCTCATGAAAATATCCCTTTCTTGGATGAAGATTAGCATGGCTTCAGCACAAATGTAATAGATTGTGGAAATGGCAAAGGCAAAGAAACCGAACCTTTCTTGAATCCCTTCTGGGGAATTGTCCAATTTCCTGAAGAGAGTACCAAGGATGATCCCAGTTGCAACAGCACCACCAAAACGCACGTAGAACAGCTCAGGCATTCTCATGGAGTTAAGTATAGATCTTTTTGCTATCACAACCATTTCTATCCAGAATGGATTAACAAATTTTGCGACATCTAAGGAAGAAAGATTGTGGCCGATATTCTTTGCTCCTGAGACTAATTTTCCCCTTGAAACACATGCACTTATCGCATCTTGCAACGATGGTTTAGGTCCTTTGAAAAAGCTGATGCAAGTTGGATTTTCTCTTTGCCATGATCTATTGAATTCCACCAAATTCTTGGTTCCATTCGGGGTTCCTTCTACTTTTTGTATGAAATCCAGAGCAAATTCTGTTTGATTTGCATCTCTTGGAATTGGACTTCCCAATTCAGCAAAGTACTGAGGAAGGTTTGCAGGAGAGCCACTAAACACTATTTGACCACATGAGAGAAAGATCAAATGGTCTAACAAACAAAGGATTCTATGACTTGGCTGGTGAATTGACATGATCACAATACTTCCACTTTGAGCTATTTTTTGCAAGACCTTGACCACCGTATAAGCACAAGTAGAATCAAGTCCTGAAGTAGGCTCATCAAGAAATAGGAGAATAGGGTCATGAATGATACCTATTCCAATAGAAACACGCCTTCGCTCTCCACCTGACACTCCCCTGTGGCCTTCATCTCCAATCATTGTATTAGCAGCATTTTGCAAGTCTAGTTGATCGAGCAATGCTCGAACTCTTTCCTTCTTTCTTGACCAAGATAAAGTCGTAGGGAGATGGAATTCGGCTGAGAACATGAGGGTCTCTTCGACTGTCAACATAGGAAACAAGAGGTCATCTTGCATAACATAAGCTGAGATCATTTTGAGAAACTTGGACTCCAAAACTTCACCATTCAATGTTACACTACCTTTAAGACTTTCCTTTTTTATATGGTTTGCAAGGGCATCGATCAACGTTGATTTTCCCGAACCACTAGCACCAAGAACTGCCATGATTTCACCTTTCCTTGCTTCGCCTGAAATGTCATTCAACAATACCTTCGTGCGAGTCATGTCCTCATCTCTCCTCAAGCACTTAGGAAGTACCATGTAACGTCGAACTTTAACACTATAGCTGAGGTTATGGAAGGAAAGAACAAAGGGAAATGAAGTAGGATTAGGCAGAATATTTAGATCATGGCCGAGTTCAAGGACTTGTTCTGCATCAGAGTTACAGTTACTATTTTCTCCATGTGCCATAGAGACGTTGTCCTCGAGTTTTCGGCTAAATTCATGAAGCTCCATTATTGTAGGAAGCTGTTTTAGTGTTGGGCTAAAATTTTAGTCACATTGGTGAAGGTGCTAAGGGGTAGTTGGCAGCAAAACTTGCAACTGCAGAGATTAAAAAACATTAATACATAGTTGCAGCAAGCTCAAGTCCGGATCTTGTCTACCCTTTATACTCCATACCCTTCCTTCCTCGTATGTATAATACAATATACATTAATTTAAACCTTTCCGTAGCTCATTTCATTAAAAGATGGTTATGGATGTGTAAAAAACACTCCATGTAGAAAGTGTGGAGTGGGAGTAAGTGATTTTTGGAGGGTGTTTCGAGCAAACACAACAATTTGAATTGCAAGGGACTTCACCAATAAGATAGACTTTACTCGCACTAGGGTAGCGCGGTGCATCAAGCATCTCGCATTCACGTAGGATCGGGGGAAGGGCCGCACCCCTTGGGTGTGATGTAGACAGTCTAATCTAATGCAAGCATCAGTGACGCTTCCACCGCTCGAACTCGTGACTTATAGGTCACACAAAGATAACTTTATCGTTGCTGCACTACATTCGGTACATATATAATTAAAATTTCAACACACTGACAGCATAAAAGTATTTTACATTATCATATCATCTAAGAAATAACTAGAGTTATCGTCTATAAAAAGTGGAGTTAGTAAACTGGAAATAAGACAGGGTTACCTTTTACAGCTGGTTATTGTTGATTGTGCAGAATTTCTTACAGTCGCGTTATATAAGTAAACCATCTTATTGTAGTAGCCAAAACAACTCCAAGCTAGTATTAAGTAGGTAAATAGGTGCCCCTTATTGGATTTTTATTTAAAGGGTGTGAATGGGAAATGGAAGAGGCATCTCTTAGATTGTACCTCTTCATCTCACCCTTTCTTTGTTTATAAATTTTGAGGTTTGGCCTCATTTTTAAAACATGAAAAACCTGAAAACTTCTCCCTTCTTTTCTACATTGTCGCATTGTTTTTCCAAATAAACAAAGTGTCAAGTGTGTTTACTCCGTTTGTTGAGTTTGTTGAAGTTCTGTAAATTGAAGTGCCGCTTTTATAGAATAATTTCTCCATTCTATCTTGGGAGGAAGTATTCCATAACATTGGGCAACAGTGAGGGGATTAAATTCTTCAGAGGGCACACACTTATTTTCTCTTTTGTTTATTGAACTAATGTTTTTTTGCTTCTCTGATTTTCTGGTTTCGAACACAGATTACTAATAATCTTAAGGAATTTAATGGAAATCGGTTGATAGAGAAGAAAACCATTGTGGTAATATTTGTTTGTTACTGCTGAGAGAGACGAAAGAAGTGATGGAATTGAAAGTGTAGTTTTCTCCTATTCGTGCACTTTCTCGCCAATACATGGTGTGTTCACTTTAACAGTAGATTAACATGAGAACATTTTTGAAATATAACCATGGCAATCACTGGTTGATTACATGATTTGAAGACGAAGCAAAAGTATTGTATGAGTCAAAATCTGACCATAAAATGGTTCTTAAAAGGAACGATAAGGGGTCGACCGAGCTGTAGTCGTGCCCATGGGGCGTGATAGCAAAGAGAACTTCGGCCACTGCTGGGGCCAAGCCACTAGAATGCTTATATCGAAGAACAACTGTAATGTTTGGTTAAGTAATGAAGGGTACAGTCATGAGAAAGTACGCCGGTTAAAGACCATTGGATAAAAGGAAAAATTGTTAACATATATAGAGGGGGAAAGATCACCAAAAGAGGGGACCAAGAACAAACCTCAGCCCAGATTGGGCTAGAACATTTTATAATCATCGTTATGGAATCAACAAAGGGAGATCTCCTAGTTATCAAACAACCTTCTCTTTTCCCCCTCTGTGCTTCTACGAGTATGGTGCAAGTCTGTCAAAGATGTAAGCTTACCATTTGCATTTAATGTATAATAATCATCTTAAGAAATATCATACAAACTTGGTCTTCTTCAACTTTTATACTCAAAATGTTTGGATCTAGAGCTAATTTTATCTCGCTAAGATTTACCTTTTATCTCTCTATTGATTAGTTTAACTAAAATGTTTAACACTTTTTTGGTCAAACAATTTGGCGCCATCTGTGGGGATTTCTTAGCCAAATTCTTTAGTTTCCTTTAGATCTAAAACAAGCTAAGTATTACTACCAAGCTTCTACAACCTCATCATCTTGGTGACAACACAAACTTTTAAAAAAAGTAGATAAGTTTTTGACACAACTTTATCGATCTAGGTCATATCCCTACACAAAATAAAAATTATGACCGATGTCTATATGAGACCCATGCCCCACTCGTAACGGAGGGATTAGCAAGTCATATGCGCAGGTAAAATAGAACCACGATCACTATGTGCTTGGCGTGACTGCTGTCCCATGCGATGTATTCACCCTGTATACCAACCTGTACTTCCGCCCCTTTGGAAGGGACGATAACCCGCTACATGACCTTTTGGGAGATCAGGCATATCCCGCATTATTTTCGTAACACGCACGCGGGATACTTTATAAATAAAGCATGACATGTTTCCCTCATTGTTTACGCATATCGGACTGAGACTCGGCCTTGGTGTACCTATGGGTGAGGTAAGCCCAACTCATGAGAAGTCTAGACGCAGTTAAATGGCGAAGCAAAAAAGGCTGCAAAATCAGAAACCATTATTCGAGCACTAAGTGGAGCAAGTAATCCTACAACGCTGCTCCTCCTTTTACCGGCTTGCTAGGCCGAGGTAACAGACAATTTCATTTGGGTTTATCTTCACTCTTTTGATTGGTTTCAAACAGGAAATCGAGCACTCATATAGGAAACGTATAACATTCTCCAATGAAAGCAAATTAAGCAAACTGGGACTCACTCAGGAAACGTACAACGTTCTCCGATGAAAGCAAAATTAAGCAAATCGGGACTCGCCCAGAAAACGCCCAGTATTCTCCAGTAAAGACAAAGTCGAGCACGCTAGGGCTCACCTCGACGCACGCGTGAACAAGTACGGCAACATGCAACGTTCCAAAAAAAGGAAGAATTTGACCCCGCTCGAATTACAACATGTTACTATTTCAATCTTGCTCGAAATAACACCTTTGCGGCCAACGACTATCACCAAAGGAAGAATTCGACCTCACTCGAATTATAACGGGTTACTATTTCGATCTTGCTCGAAATAACACCATTGCGGCCAACGGCCATCGCCAAAGGAAGAATTTGACCTCGCTCGAATTACAACGGGTTACCATTTCAATCTTGCTCGAAATAACACCCTTTGCGGCCAACGGTCATCGCCAAAGGAAGAATTCGACCTCGCTCGAATTACAACGGGTTACTATTTTGATCTTGCTCGAAATAATCCCATTTGCGGCCGACGACCATCGCCAAAGGAAGAATTTTACCTCGCTTGAATTACAATAGGTTACTATTTCTATCTTGCTCGAAATAACACCTTTGCGGCCAACGACCATCGCCAAAGGAAGAATTCTACCTCGCTTGAATTACAATAGGTTACTATTTTGATCTTGCTCGAAATAACACCTTTGCGGCCAATGGCCATCGCCAAAGGAAGAATTCGATCGCTCGAATTACAACGGGTTACTACTTCGATCTTGCTCGAAATAACACCTTTGCAGCCAACGGCCATCTCCAAAGGAAGAATTCGACCTTGCTCAAATTACAACGGGTTACTATTTTGATCTTGCTCGAAATAGCACCCTTACAGCCAACGGCCATCGCCAAAGGAAGAATTCGACCTCGCTCGAATTACAACAGGTTACTATTTTGATCTTGCTTGAAATAACACCTATACGGCTGCTGGCTATCGTCAAAACAAGTAGGTTACAATTCAACCTCGCTCGGAACAACACCTCTACAGCCATCGGCCACCGTTGAATAAAAGAAAAAGTTTGAACTTGTTCAAACATAAGGCAGAAATTGACTTCACCTAAAAGGGCGACTCCAAACTCAAATTCGTTCAAATAAAAGTCAGAATTTGACTTCACTCCAAACGGTGATTCCAAGTTCGACCCAGCTCGAACACATATGAAAAAGTTGAATTCGCCTAAGTCGGCAAGTCTGAACTCAATCCTGTCACGCCCCGAACCGGGGGGGGGGGGGCATGATCGGCACCTGGTGCCTCACCTATCCTTGCATACCAACTTGCAACTAAGGAACTCTAAACATGTGATGTCATAGTTTGGCCATGGGCCACATTGCAAGACAACTGCAAATGCTGACTAAATATCAATAAAAAGCTGGGCCGACAAGGCCGTCATAACTACTAAAGCTGACAAACCAACCAAATATACCTACAAGGCCTGCAAGCCCAACATACTGCATATCTGACATGATATGTCTACAAGCCTCTACTGATAGATATACTATGATCGGAATAGCTCCCCGACCTACTCATAACATATATACATATATATACAAGATGTACATAAGGTTCTAGACCCGGCAACTCTGAAAGGGATGGAGCTTACCGATCAAGTTGAACTCGGGCAACACTTAATGAGGAGGTCTACCTGTCTGTCTGTCTGAACCTGCACGCAAGAAATGCAATGCCCCCAGAAAAGGAATGTCAGTACGAAATAATGTACCGAGTATGTAAGTCAATATACTGAAAGCTGAAACTGAACTGATAANACTCGATAGTAATGAAAATACTGTGATACTGTATATATAGACTCTCTGCTCTCTTGACTGGAAGAAGGAAATACTCAAATAAATATGAAGTCCCGATAAAGAGAATATTGTAGCTTACAAAAATAGAAAAATATATGTAACTTGAGAGACTAGCAAAATATACGTAAATTTCGGGATATAAATTTTTCTTTATGCCTCGTTATCAAACTTGTGTAATGACGAGATCATGCCAAAATGAAGGAAGAGCTTAGCCTTAACATACTTAGAGTACGAAAAAATCCATATGATATTCTTGAAAAAGGGTGCATCGTACTCCTTCAGAACTGCAAAATTTTACGTTGCTATGATGTTAAGAACCTCGTTGG